TTTTTTTTTTTTTTTTTTTTTGGTACCGGGGATTGAATTCAGGACCTTGCACTTTCGAGGCAGGCGGCAAAACCACTGAGCTAAATCCCTGGCTAGGATTGCATTAAATCTGTAGAAAAATTTTGGAAGTATGGTCATTTTCACTATATTGGTTCTTCCTACCCAAGAACAAGGGATATCTTTCCATTTTCTGATATCCTCTTCGATCTCCTTTTTCAAGTACTATAGTTTTCAATGTAAAGGTCTTTTAGTTCCTTCTTTAGATCTATTCCTGGGTATTCCTTTCTTTTCTTTTTCTTTTTTTTTTTCTGTACCAGGGATTGAGCTCAGGACCTTATGCTTGTGAGGCAGGCACAGCACCCCTGAGCTAAATCCCCGGCCCCTTGGATGCTATTGTGAAAGGTGCAGTTTCCCTAATTTCTCTCTCAGTGAGTTTGTTATTTGTGTACAGGAATGCTATTCATTTTTGAGTGTTGACTTTGTATTCAGCTACACTGCTGAATTTGGTTATTAAATCTAGAAGTCTTTTGGTGGAGTTTTTGGGGTCTTATGTATTATGTCATATGCAAATAATGATAATTTAACTCCTTCCTTTCCTATTCTATTCCTTTTATTTCTTTCTCTTGTCAAATTGCTCTGGGTAATGTTTATAGAAAGAACTATATTGAATAAGAGTGATTTCAGTTTTTGACAATTTAGTATGATGTTGGCTGTTGGTTTGTCATAGATGGCTTTTATCAGATTGAGATAAATACTGTCTATTCCAGTTTTCTGTAGGGTTTTTATCATGAATGAGTGTTGGACTTTGTCAAAGCCTTTTTGTCCATCTATTGAGATGATCATGTGGTTTTTGTCCTTGGTTCTATTAATATGGTGTATTACATTTATTGATTTACATATGTTGAATCTTCCATGCATCCCTGAGATGAGTCTTAGTTGGTCATGATGTATAATCTTCTTGATGATTTGCTGCAGTCTCTTTGCCAGTAATTTCTTGAGGATTTTTGCATCTATGCTCATTAGGGAGATTGGCCTGTAATTCTCCTTTTTGGTTGGATCCTTTTCTGGTTTTAGTATCAGGGTAATGCTTGCTTTCAGGAATGAATTTGGGAATATTGCTTCCCTTTCAGTTTCCTTAAATTGAAACATTGAAAACAACAATTTCATGAAATTGATACATTGAAAAGTATCAGCATATGTTCTCTAAATTTCTTGTAGAATTCAGCAGTGACTCTGTCAGGGCCAGGGCTTTTCTTTGTTGGTAGGTTTTTTGTTTGGTTGGTTGGTTTTTTTGAAACAGGGTCTCACTAATGTAGTTTAGACTGGCCTTGAATTCTCTATGTAGCCCAGGCTGGTCTCCAACTCACAGTGATCCTCCTGCCTCAGTCTCCCAAGTGCTGGGATTACAGGCATGTGCCACCACGCCCCACTTCCTGTTGGTACTTTTTTTGTGCGTGTGTTAAATTCTTTTATTGGTACATTCTAGGTATACAACACAATTACATTTCTCATTGGGAATTGTGCCTTTATATAATGCATCTTGGTTCTTATTTTTTCCCCATTCCTAGCCCTCCCTTCACCCCCTCCACCCTTTCCTATTTACAAAGACTT